CCACTGCCACTGCCACTACCATTGCCACTGCCACTGCCACTGCCAATGACACTGCCACTGCCAACGCCGACGCCACTGCCACCGCCGCCGTCCTTCTCGTCGGTGCCTTCTATGATTTGCACCTCGTCTTGATTCACCGCCTTCTCCTTCGCGGCCTGCAGTCTTTTGTACGCCAACTCTCGCATGTTGCGATCTTTTACCAGCTCGGCGAATAAACTGGTCTCGCTGATCTTCGCCTGTACTCGAAGATTCCGCGCGGTGATGCTCGATGGACTTCTGGCCCGCGACCTGTGTGACGTGGGAGAAGGTATTCTTGGACGCGGGCTCTTCGACTTGTGCTTCCGCAACGACTTGTGGGTCTTACTGGGCGAGCGCGATTTCTTCGGTGTGCGACTTCTTCTGCGCGAACGCGATCTCGAGCGCGACAGCTTTCGCCACCTTCCCGGGCTGCGAGAACGTGAACGAGACAGAGGCATGTGCAATCTGAAATCAATGGGAATTGTTGTGTAAACAGGAGGAATTAATTTATTTATTTACATCTTGAAAGATTTTAAGCAGAAAAAATAACTCGCTCGCACCTGCTTCCCGTGGGACTTCTGGTCGATCTCGACTTCCGCTTGTCCCTCCTGTCCTTCTCGTGATGTCGGTGGCGTCGATCTGGCTCGTCTCGCCGTCTGCGTTTCGGAGAATTGATTCCGCTGTCCGTTCGCCGTCTATGACTGCCAACGGGGCTCGGACTGAACTCTCGTCGTCTGACCGTGGCCGGACTCGGACTATGCCTGAGCCTGTGGAGCATCGGGGTGGGACTGAAATCTCTTCTACGTGGCGGACTGTGATCCCTTCGTCTCGACGGCGGACTCGGGCTGTGTGGCCGTCTGCGACTCGGGCCGCCAGGCGCGGGGCTTATGCTGGAGCGTCGTACCACGTGAATACTGGGACTGCGTTTCTGCCGATCGGGACTGTTGTGCTTGGATGCGGCCGCTTTGTCCAGATTCTCCGGTGTGGTTGCGCGCGGTGGCAATAACGGCGTATGCGGCGACTCTATCTGCCGCACGGGCGGCAGCAACGGCGGCGTCAAGTTCCGAGATGATTGTCTCGACGAGATCTCGAGATCCCTGTCGTCGCTGAGACATCGCTGTTCTTGCGGCGTTGCTGGCGAGATCGGCGATGTGCTGTCCTTCAACGGCAAAGGCGGGGACTCTGACCAATTGCCAGCAACGGCCATCGACTGCTTCTCGTGCTCCGGACTCAGATCGATCTCGCCCTCGGCGAGAACGTGGTGCGGGCTCATGCTGTCGGAGTGCCTCTTGGATTTCCTCTTCTTTTTCTTACCGGAGTTTGACGATGGGCTCAGACTTCTCTTCTTCTTCTTCTCGCGTTTATGCTTCTTTTCTTTCCGCCGAGCGTATCGTCTAGAGTCCTCTTCGTATTCCGGAGTCCCGCTGTGCATCGCTGATTGCTGCTGTTGCTCGTTCGGCGAATAATGCCTGCCGGAGTGCCGATGCGGAAGTGGCGATGACGGTGATATGCTGATGGGCGACGCTCCGAGGGTGCGTACCGGGCTACCGCCATAATATCGCCTTTGAAGCAACTGTTCAGACTGCACTTCTCCGTCAGTGTAACTATTGCCACGACTATCCTCCGATTGTATTTCCCCCGCCTCTGGCTCGGAGAGATCCTCACTACTTACGTCCGAATATTCGACCAATGGCTTCACAACTGAAGAGGCTACAGTCGGAACATTCTCCAATGACTTGTCGCGTGAACGTTTTTTCTTCTTCTTTCCCGAGCCCTTACTTTTGCCATGCCGTCTGTGACGCTTATCAGGACCGTCGAAGCTATGTCGATTCAAGTCGCTGCCTGTACTGCCTCGTCTTCGCGAGCGAAATCTCCCATTACGTTCAGCTCTTTCGATATCACGAGTGCTAGGCATGTCACCTACTAAAAATAAAACAACTATCAATAAATGATAGAAATTAATTACTTTAATTAATTAAAAATCGTGTACTTTTTACATGATTACGTGTATTATTGACATGATAATAAAAACTGACACAAATAAAATTAAATGTTACAAATTTTGTGTATATATTTATTGTTTAATTTCAGGTATTTTTAGGTTTCACATTTATATCTAGGTCATTCTTCATGGAAGATATATCGCTAATAAATAGCTCTGTAGTTTGTTCATTCATAGTTCATTACTCCAGCACTCATTTCCTTTATTGGTCAATTGAGTTCTATATGTAGGATTACTTTGTTTTAAAAAAATTTTAATTCTACAAATCTAGAATTATAAATTAATTTTGTTTTAAAAAATTTATAATTTTCTAATTGTTATATTTGTCATTTAAAATTTTACTAGCAGAAACAAGTTACATAGTTTGTTTCTCCTGCATTCAATTTCTTTATTGATTAATTAAATACTACTTATAATAATTTTGTACATAATTTTAAAAAATTCTGAAATTATAAATTTATTATATATAAATAAATTTGTAAATTTATTATATATAAATTTATAAAATAGTTCTGTTTTTTAGAGTGCTTAAGCAATTTTATGTTACTGTAGTTGCCATTTGGGATTTGGTAGGAGAGAATATCAGCAGGAATAAGCCATGTGTTTTATTCATCCTACACACATTTCAATTAAATTTTACATATATAATAATTTTTTAAATAATTCTAAAAAACTTCTGAAATTACAAATTTGGAATTATAAAATAATTCTAGTTTTAGAATAGTAAAGTAGTGCTTTACATTCTATTTTTCAATATTATTGAGACTTTGTAAGCAAAAATATTAACAGAAACAAATCACATGATTCATTTTACGTTCGGGTATTATTTACCGATCAATTAAATTATAAAATAAGTTAAACGTACAATGACTTTGTATACAATGCTATAAAAAAAAATTGTGGAATTATAAATTTAGCATTATAAATTCAAGAATTGTAAAATAATTCTGTTTAAGAGACTTCGAGTAATTTTGTATTGCTGTATTTGGACAACATTATTGCATATTGTAAGCATTGTAGAGAAAATATCAATAGGAATAAGCCACGTGATTTCTTCCACACTTATTTTTTGGGTCCATTGTATATAAATTCTAAATATATATTTTTTAATTAAAAATTTTGAAATTATTATTAATAATTCTGTTTCAAAGTACTTGGGTAAATTTACATCGTTGCATTTGTCAACATTATTGGAGATTTTGTAAGATTGGAGGGATATTTAAGTGATGAAGTGTGCCACGTGGTTTTTCCTGGCTTACCCTGACATCGATGAAAACACGACGATCGAAAATAACGTTATTGCTTCGAGGTGCCTGGACACGATCCCGAAACCGATCGTCATGGATATCACTCATACCTGATCAACGGCGTGCATGTATACACGTAGTCATGCGTGTGCTCGCTCGCGTACGTACACATGGGCGGCGATGTACGTATATAGCGATATCGCGGAATGACGCGATTACCTTGCGTGCGAGCGGTCGCGTTACGCCAATTTGCCGTTGTTGCACTTGTCCCGGAATGAAGAGCAAACGATGATTAGCGGCGAGGGAACGGACACGGGCAGGGAATTAACAGTCGCGACGCGAATAACGAAGCAACCACGAGTTTCTCGAGCGAGTCAACGCGGCCGCCATTGCTCTCACACACGTATTCGGACTCGCCCAGTTTCTCTTTTACGAAGCAAAAGTTGGACGACAACGCAATGATTCGTCCGGGAAATCGCACTTGCACAAAATACAATCGTACTCACGTGCGATGTGTGTCCCGCGGCGTCGTGACGAGCCCCGGTGACCCTCGCATCAGGTCCAAAACCAGTACGTTGGGTCGATGAGATGGTGCGTAACGGTTACGTTCTGCCCGTTTCGTCGTCGTTAGGTCTTCTGTGCAAAATGATTCTCAGCACATAATTCGCGGCCGATTGGTGCTTCAAGCCAGGAGTTCAGATTTCTAACGTGATCGTGCGGCGCTCAAGCGATCATATTTTTATGATTCTAGCAGCCGATCGCATCATATCGCATCTGATCGCTTTGGATTCTGCCTTGCTCATATGTGCCTAGCTTGACCGAATGGAAGCCATTGACCATTAGCACGTCGCTTCTGCGTGACGTAATGTGTCCGTATACAGTGCTGCCGCGGCGAAATGCGAAATGAAACGCGGTGAAGCGATAAAGTTACTAGAAATTTAGAGATTTTCGCCAATTTTACCGGTCTCGTGTTTTGTAAGATTATCTGATTGGATCGTCTTCAAACAGACAACCAATAAAATTATTGGAATTTATGGATCTTTACAATTATGAATACACAATCTAAAATTTCAATATTCTATGATTGAGTGAATATTGGACAAAAACCATCACAGTAATGTGTAAATTCTTATAGAAATAGCTAATCGTCTTCCATTACGTATGCATTTTTTCCAAAGATGCACTGAATTGATTGGTTATCTGATCTGGATTGCAAATTTTATCTAGACGAACATAACCTATAAAACGCGAAAATTTTTGTCAGCATAGAATACAAAAAAAATACAGTTACACGCGTGATAGTCAAATTCTATTTCCGAGAAGCAACGAGAAGATTTTGAAGAAGGTAACTCAAGAAAATGGGTGAACGCTACAACATTCACAGTCAACTCGAGCATCTGCAGTCAAAGTACATCGGCACAGGACACGCAGATACAACGAAATTTGAGTGGCTGGTGAATCAGCACCGGGATTCCTGCAGTTCGTACATGGGCCATTATGATCTGCTAAATTTCTTCGCGATTGCCGAAAACGAAGCCAAGGCACGAGTCAGATTCAATCTCATGGAAAAAATGCTACAACCTTGCGGACCGCCCCCCGAGAAACCGGAGGATTAAATTGTACATCCTCTCGTCGAACATTTTTTCCGAGTGATGAAAACTATTACCCAGTATTGTATCATTAATCAGTTGTTTTGCATAGAATAAGAGACTCAAAGTGGATTTTGTTACAAGCCAATTTTGCTTGATGTGTTTCAATTCATGACTGCCATCTTTTGAGCAACGTGGATATTTAACCTTAATCCTACTTCAATAAAAAAATACAAAGACATTTCTGTACGATCTTACGTTATATCAATCTAATAAATTGAGACATAATAAAATTGTGCAAGTTATTATTAGTAGCTCTCTGTTTATCAGAAGAATTAAAAAATCCAACATGCCTGTCTTATGCTCTACAAAGTGTGGTAGAGATGCCATTTTGAAGGTAAATAATTTTCGCAATTTCTCATATATCTAAAGATTTGTGTAATATATTATCTCTATTCCATAAATATAATTGAAATATGTGATATATCTTTAGAGACCAAAAACTGGCGATACATTGTGTAAGGAATGTTTCTTCTTAGCGTTTGAAACTGAAATACATGATACTATTGTTACTGGTAAACTGTTCAAACCTGGTGATAAAGTTGCCATTGGAGCATCAGGTGGAAAAGATTCCACTGTACTTGCATATGTTCTAAAAGTCTTGAATGAAAAATACAAATATGGATTAGATCTGTTTCTTTTATCCATTGACGAAGGAATTACTGGTAACATATATTTTAACAACTATATATATGTGTAACTATTTTATAGCATATATAAAAAATATAATTTACATTTTTTGTAATTCGCTATTTTAGGATATAGGGATGATAGTTTGAAAACTGTGGCACAGAACAGAGATGATTATGGCATTCCACTTAAAGTTTTATCATATAAAGAACTATATGGATGGACAATGGACTCTATAGTTGCAGAGGTAAAATACATCCAATTACTTTGCTATACTGAAAATTCTATAAATGTACTCTAACGGGATATGTAATGTATTTTAGATTGGCCGTAAAAATAATTGTACATTTTGCGGTGTTTTTCGAAGACAAGCATTGGACAGAGGTGCTGCACTTTTGGGGGTAGATTGTATTGTAACGGGTCACAATGCGGATGATATTGCTGAAACAGTATTAATGAATGTCTTAAGAGGCGACATTGCCCGATTACAAAGATGTACATCTGTAATCACTGTAAGAATATGTTATTTCACATATAGAATAAAAAAACTTGCAAATGATTGATATGCAAATTTTCATGTTATACAGACGGGTGCAGATTCGATTATGCGTTGTAAGCCACTGAAATATGCATACGAAAAAGAAATTGTCATGTATGCATATTTTAAACGTCTGGTATATTTCTCTACAGAGTGCATATATGCTCCAAATGCTTACAGAGGCCATGCACGAGCCTTTCTAAAGAATTTGGAAAAAATTAGACCTTCATCTATCATTGATATAATACATTCAGGTAAAAATATATTTGTAAAATATATATTTGTAAAAATATATTTGTTATATATTTTACTGTAATATTTCTCTATTTAAACTAGATTATAAAAATTGTTAATTATGAATTTTATACACTAGGTGAGCAATTGCAAGTAAAAGATAGTGTAAAAATGCCAGAGAGACAGAATTGTACTCGATGTGGATTTGTGTCAAGTCAAGAAATATGCAAGGCATGTGTTCTGTTGGAGGGCTTGAACAGAGGACTACCAAAACTCGGTATTGGCAAATCTAGCAGAGCTAAGAAAATAATGAGCTTAGACAAAAATATTGTAGATAAAAAAAACAGAGAGCAAAGTGTAGATTTTTAAGGCTTTTTATGTATACAAATATACAACATGTGCACACATGTGTTTACAAAAAATATATCTTCTATTTCAATTAATGATGGGAAAAATGTTCCAAAAATATACATTTAAGATGATTAAATAAAAAGTTATTGCTTAGATAGTTTTATAATTTGACTGACGTTAACAAAATTTATATTCTTGATATTCATTATATACCCCAATAAAAGCTATATATGATCAAACGTTTAAAATCTTACAATATTAATAATTTGTATGCACATATACATTTGCTTATGCAAATCAGATTTTTTATATAAACAAAAACGATGTACATACATGTGTACCATATATTTTTAAATAAATTAGAATCAAACAGAACAGTACTATTTTAATTTACAGTATTATCACTCTGAAATATTTTAGCTATAAATTTGTGTCAAAATTAAATTCACACTATATATGCTGCTGCTTTTTGAGTGATCTGTGTTCGGCAAATGGGGCAATTATTATTGATGCTAGATGAACAATCTTCGCATATGCATACATGGCCACAAGGTAATAGAATAATTTCACGCGCGTTTGTTTTGCAAACTACGCATAGTTGATCTTCTCTAAGATCCCTATCTCTGACTCGTTGCCGTCTTGCTTGACGAGACATTTCAAGCGACTGACGCAACTCCTCTGCTAATCTTTGCTCCTGCTTATTCTTCCAGTAGCGTCTTGCTATAATTCCTCCGATTAATAATCCAACGGCACCAGTCATTAAACAAAATATCCTATATTCACAATAATTGTGTTTAATTTATAATTATATATTCAATTTGTAATAGATATTTTACTTTTCAAAGATCTACATACCTGTATATCTTTCTACGATCGTCTAATTTCCGTATCAAGGCGGTAATTGACATGCTTGTTATGTAAAAAGGAGGTCCACTTAATGGAGGTTGCAAGATAAGAGAGTCAGATTTAGCATCTGACTTTGAAAGCTCACCTATTGCTGTAATAACTGAATCCTCACGCAACATTTTTTCTGTAGATTGTATCCCACGCTGACGCACTCCTAATAATGTAAACATAAGTTTAAAAACTTTCTAAAAATAGAACACACACACACACACACACACACAAATAATATAATTCAAAATAAAATAGTAACAATTAGTCCTGATATGTTTTATTGTTATTACCTGTGAAAAATCCCCATATATGATCTACAAACGAAGGTACACTGGGCTGAAAATTATCAGAGATCACATCCAAATCTAAAATGTCAGCCGACAATGGATCTATGATTTCCACAGAATACCATCCCCTTTGCAAAGCAAATGGTACCACATGATAGATTTTTTGAATGGTTCGTTTTTGATCAGACCTATAATCAGTCAATTTTATAAAAATATATCTGTAATATAAAAACAGTGATGTATAATCTTATCTTACCAGAAACCAGCTGATGTTCTAGCGACAACATGCTCTCTGACACTAAGCTTTTGTATAACACCGGTAACATCCTTTTTATTAATGCTTCTCAACGATTCTCCTAACGGCTTTACAATTCCTCTGACAGCGATGTAATCCACTTTATTATTCGAGCTGTTATCTAATACAGTTTTAAGATCGGTGCCAACATCATACAGCTCAACATTCTACAAAACATACGGCTTTTCTATTTATCACATTGTGTCTGTTATTTTAACACATTTTTCCTAACACTAATGCGTTTAAAAACTTTGGCGATAAACCAATATCATTTACCTCAACTGCCTTAACCGCATGCTTGTAATTGTTGTATTGCTTTAAGCAAATAGCGAATACAATGGTGTCAATTCCAAGAGCAAATATTTCACCCAAATATTCCATTATTAAATTATATTTTCGGATGCATTGTCATACACCTTTACATCTGCCTTCACTTAAACTGAGATTATTCACATAACAGCATTCATCCTGGATCACTTTTCGATATGCAAAATATAAGAGCACACTGTCATGCAGTTTCCTATAATCGTCGTGCCGCTATCATAATATGTGCAATTCGTGCAAATTAAAATCAACCCCAACAGCTGATGATAATTTGTCTCCGTATTTCCTCAAAATAAAAAATCTTTATATGATATTTTGGTGGATTTTTCATTTGATCGAGCAGTTCTGAGCGAAGATGTTAAAATGGAGACGCGGCCCCAAACAGCCTTGAATAATCGTATTGAAAGCAATGATCGCGCACAATCGAGAACCGCGTACATGTGAGTTGCGTTTCGGCTAGCTCGAATGGTAGAAGAGAGAATACATAAGGGCGTATTCATAGTCCGTTTTTATTCCAAAATTACTTTGGTAACTAGTAGTAGTGTACGTCATATTCGTTCCACACAGTTAACGCGGAGCCGCGTCTTCATCAGTCTCCATTCTATCAGATTCATCACTGGTTGCCTACGAGATATATTTGTGACATATTTGCGACATCGAGATTCGGAAGTTTGGAATGTACTAGAATTTTGTGTACTAAACTGAGAAAAAGTTTTTACAGAAAACGTTTCTTCTATAACAATTTATCGAAGTATTTTTCCAAGGCAGACAAATTACACGTGGAATACTCGAGATGTCCCAGGAAGTAAATTTGTTGCATTGTTATCACCGTGGTTGCGGAAAGAAATTTGATCCAAGTGACAATAAGGATGGTAAAGATAATTTTTTCATTTTTAAACCGTGATTGTTTATTAAATTATATTATTTATAGCATATATGGGAAGGCCAGTGATTTTATTATCTCCTTGTAGATGATTGTGTACATCATCCAGGACATCCAATATTTCACGATGCATATAAAGGATGGTCCTGTTGCAATAAAAAATGTACAGACTTTACCGAGTTTTTGAACATTAAGGGTTGCACAAAGTCGAAGCATTCAAATGAAAAACCAATAGAGCCAGAGAAGCCTGCCGTTGATAAATCTGAAATTGACAAAGTAATAGAGGTTATTTCTAAGCCTCTGAATAATAAACCATCTTTGAAAAGGCCTTCTTTTGATGTTCCCCAATTCACACTATCGCCGACAATATCTCCTATCTTGTTAGAACAAATCAAAGGATTGACAGCTTTAGAGATTGACAAATCGATAGAAAACATAGTGCAAGTAGGACAAAGTTGTAAAAACAATTCGTGTAAAGGGACTTACAAAGGACCAACTTCTGAGGAAGAAACCTGCAGCTATCATTCCGGAGTACCTATTTTTCACGAAGGACTGAAATATTGGTCCTGTTGTCGAAAGAAAACAACAGAGTTTTCTGTGTTTTTGGAGCAACCAGGCTGTACACGAGGCAAGCATATGTGGTTTTCAGAGGTATATAATGAATATCGCAAATAAAGAATTAAAATAAAGTATTTTTATAATAGTTTTTATTAACAATTGTTGTTTAAATAAAGTTTATTTATTTTTCAGAATACAGGAAAAAAGGATGTACAATGTAGAATGGATTGGCATCAAACGGGAACATATGTAGTTGTTTCTGTGTATGCAAAGAAATATCTGCCCAGTCAATCTTTTGTAAAATTAAATCCCATCCATCTGACTGTCGATTTATTCTTTGTGGAGGAAAACTCAAGATACAATCTTGACATAGAATTGAGAGGAGTATGTATTTAGCATTTAAAATTTAAATTTAAATTTTCATGACCGATGAAACTATTATCTTTGTAATATACGTTCATTGTTTTCTTTTAGATTGTTGACGTCGAGCAAAGTTCTGTAAGTATGCTGCCGACCAAAGTAGAAATCAAACTAAAAAAGGCAAATCTTGGTTCATGGTCAAAGTTAGATATTCCTAGAGAAACAAATTCAGAAACTTCTGAAAGCAGGGAAGACGCTGCAATTCTTAATACACAGATTGATGCTGTGGACCTTAGTGATCTTTAAGTGTTAATATTCTTTAATTGTAAAAAGACTTGTAGCTCTATGACATTGAGGTAAATCGTAACAATTTATTTTTCTGGAATAATTTATTCCAATTTAAAAGAGCTTTCCCTGTGAAAGATTTCATTCTGTTCATTTTGTTTTGGCAAAATAATTTTAAATACAATAGAAATCGTATTATTTGTGTTACTTTTAAATCGAAAAATTCAGCCATTAAATATGATTATATAAATGTTACACATTTCTTTATAAGAGTTATTAACGTTATTTTTTATAGTTTTTTTCTGAAAAACTAGTACCAATATATAATAAAAATTAATATTTTATCATAAACTTGTTTCTCTTCTTCTGTCAAGTGTACTATAATTCCACACAAGTTACATGCCCTATTATTAATCTGATACATATGTATTAATTCTTATCTCAATGTTAACAAGTTTATAAAATAAAGGTGCAGTTGGCGAGTTGTGCTATTAGCTTATTTATGGAAATTAAAATTTTGAAGACAAGAAATGACAATCTTACCTTTTTTTTAAATCAACACAAATTTTTCTATTTATTATGTACCTCACTTTTTCCAAAATAATAGTAATTCCAAAATAATCCACACTAGGAGACATTCGTGATTGTACAAAGAAAATAGTCATCTAAGATGGTTCTAAATATATCTCTGTGTGAATTCATTTTATTTAATTCCAAAATTTCAATAAACTTTTAATTTATATAAACTGCAAAAAGGATACTGCAAATGCTTGGAATACAAACACGTCATTGATTTTCATATTTAAAAATAAATTAATATCCTTTTTTTTATTTATAAGAGAAATGTCGAGAATTGAAAGAAAACGTAAACGTGAGTTATAATGATAACAATAGTAATAATAATAATAAATACAAACTTCTATACAGGTCCATTCATTTATTATGTCCTCACTTTTCATTATACTATCTATTTATAGTATACCAAGTGTATATTGTTGCTTGATATTCAGATACCAATTCGCATCCGATTATTTCACACAAGATTATACAATGGCATTTACCACAAAAATAGGATCATCTGGGCGATGTTTGCAAAACGACCGAAAGCAAGATGTGAGCAATGGCTGCTTCGTGAATATGATATGAAAAGTTTCTTGGCTAATTGGATATACACCCTTTTGTACAATTCTCATGCCAAAATGCAAGTTAATCAAACTGTGATTTGTGAAATACAATTACAGGAGATATTAAATGTCGCTACTTAATCGGGCAGTGATTCTGTGTGACAAGCGTGTACGAAATGTTAGCTAATCAAGCATGAAGGAAAGCACACCAAATACCAATTTACTTTTTACTATATGTATCAGAAATTTGACCTCGATATACGATCACGAAAAATTGTTAAGAATTGTTAAAAAAGATTGCATTTAACTGTAAAGTGTTCATGAGAAAGAACTTGCAATGATGATACCGTCGAAATTTTCTAAATAAAATGCAATCTATAAATTCTAACAACTATGATTCGAATTTGTAGATAAGAATATCTGTTTGAAGATGTTATTTGCGGTAATCGTCATTACGTGACGATGCCAAGTAATTTGTAATCTAATGAAGAACATAATTAGTTATAGTATCGCTAAGATACGAAGTAACTAAGGTAGGTGTATAAAGACGGGCACATGATGTTGACGAATTTTCAGTTATCGATTGCTATCTTACTTCATATGTAACGCATAATTATTATAAGCATTATAACAAGCCCATAAGCGTCGGCGAAATTCATTTTGTATAAATAAATATTCTATTATTAGAAAAAGAGAAAGAAATTGGACGACATATAATCGCGCATCTTACAAATTTATATTACAAAGTATGCGCAAATGCTCGTTCGACTTGTTTACCGACTTTCTCCGGATTATATCTAAATATTATATATCGATAAATTTGCTGCTCAACATACAGAAAATTTTTAATAAAATTTGTTTACTTCTCGATATATTAACAAATTATATATGGACATACATCTGCATCGTATCGTACAATAAATCCGATCGTTCGATTGCATGCTCTAGATTACGCTGAGTCGCATCGCTACCAGGTCAACATATTGTAATCATTAGAATGATAACCCGATCAGACCAGCTGGAAACGAGTGTTTGACATTTATACTGATATTTTATATATATTTATATATAAATAATGTATATATGTATATGTATATATACCCAACGTGTATATACGTACTTTAGGTATATATACTATATACCTAACAATTGTATACAATATATACTATATGTATATGCATATATATGTTATATATGCATATTTCATTATACAATACTATAACACATTGCGAAACAAAAGGGAGCTTTAAGTACATACATTACTATCTCGTAATTTACAACACTGTGATATAACTAGAAACATTCCTACGTATGCGCATATGTGTATAAAATCTATTCAGCTTACAATTAAATATACAATTCCAAGAAGGGCCGCACTCCAAACGATACACTATAATAGATCGGATATATACGATACAAATTAATAATAACGATCTATACGTATTGTGTATGATAGAAAAAACTCTATGAATTGGGTAAAATAAACAGTAATTGAATATTTTGCACATCAGAAGGGCTACGTGTCTATGCGAATCACCTTTCTTTCTTATTATTCCTTTTTGCCCAAAGCTAAGAGACAATAAGCATTTTTTTTTACATATGCAATAGATGAATCCAACAGATTACGAAACAATAAAATCTTTGCGGTAAATTTTATCATGCTTTACTTCAAATGGCACGTACAACTTATCCGGAAACTCATTACAAGACTAACTTACTCTTATATCACTAATGGAACACAAACAGACCATTCTGATGTTACTCGCTATATATAATATGCACACTTTCAGCAACGTATATACACACTTTTAAGTCAAGAAAGTATATATTCTAAATTTATTAAACATTTATTACAATCAGAGACATTTTTCTTATCATGCTTTGGTTTGAAGACATAATAGGAAATACTGAGACATAATAAAACAGGAAATACGAGACAACTTAAGACACATACAGAGAGACCCGTACATATTTTTGGGCCTTCGAATATCTCAGTTTCCTGTATAGGAAAATAAAGATTCCGCGCAAATTTAAAGCATAAATTTTTTCGTAGCAGACACTTGTATCATTTCAAATATGGAAAAAAAAGTGCGGTGTGAATCCAGAATAAATATTCGTATTTATATAAATAATGTAAAAAATTAATAAAATTGATTAATTAATAAGAATATTAAGAGTTCTTCAATAATACAAGTGCTTTTGTACGATGACACCGGACGATTGTCAGTACGCAATCGAGTTTGAGACTCGAATTGCCTTTTTTTTTTTAGCATATTAAAAAGCATGATTTTGAAAGTTACTTGAAAAATTACTTTGGAGATTTTTCTCGAATCACTAAGGACTAAGTTCGTATAAAGTTTATCTGTCATGCACATTTATTTGTGAAAATAATGTTTAAAATCACACCATAAATCACGAGGGGGGCAGTAAAGTTGGTATGTGATATTTTCAGATTCCATATAATATTATAGGTTTATATACATTGGCGAAGAATTTGTCCGAAATATCAGCCGAAACTATATCGATGAGAAAAAATACGAGTGAAAAGACGAAGAAAAAATGGTCGCAAGCTCAATTGCTCTTTGAAATTGGTCCGATGCAAAGTGCATTATTATATAGTTACATGCACAATGACATTGTTTCTAATACATAATGATATGCTCTATATTTGACGAGTCAAACACATTACGCATATCGTTCCAAGCGATAAGACAAATTAAACATAAAAAATAAGTATTACTGGCACATTGTTAGCCATTATGGATATTGTTTGCGCGGTTCTCATCGACTATTCGATAAATAATATTTTGGTCGAAAACATTTTCCATGTCATATGTGTCATTTTAGACTATTTGCGATGTGACTTAATAAAAAAAAGCACCAAATTATTTCGATTATTGCTTAAAAAATTGACAAATAACTCCTAAAATCTCGAAAATTTTTTAAATCTTGAAAATTTCGAAACATACATATTTATTAAAAGTTTTGGAGATGATAAAATATGTAGCACTATATGTGAAGATTTGAAATCTAAGTTAAGATTATCTTTTGCACAATTTATTCACATTAATAATGATGATAATAGATATTTGCAATAAATATATTCGTTTAAATATTAATATAATTAATGTCACTCTATCAAAATTTTCAACGTTTAAGAATTCCAAGATTTTTAACAATTTTTAACACATTTCAAGTTTCATCATATTAAATTATTTAAACATTTTTCCAGATGCCCACAATTTTCTAAAATTCATAATGTTCAATTACGAATACGCTGGCTCAATTGCTTGCAAAATTTGTAAGAGAGAAAAAAAGAGAATCAAATCCTGTTTATCGTAACACATAAATACATATACTGCTGGATATAATGATACAACATCGTGAAACTTCTTGAAAGTTTACTGTTACTCCTAATACAAGTTAAAATAAAACAACAATTTAAAATAAAAATTTATTCTCACATGTATATCACATAGTATTATATAAGAAATAGAAATAACAATTTTAAAGAGTAATGTTCCAATAAATTAAACTAATATTGTAATTTTTAATTTAAAAAAGCAGAATTTTTATTCGCTAACGCTAATGACTTAGTTATATGTGAAAGTATAATAGAGATGCCTAATCATTTTATTCAGCAGCAATCGCGAATATACAACGAAATCTTTATTTTCGATTTTTTATAGATCTGTTTCCTTTCGGAAGTAGAAAGGCGAAGATCCAGTGGCACAGTAAGGCATACTACTGTTATAATATATTTATCCACACGACACATTTCGGTGTATTGCATTACCTTTAATAATAATAATAACACGAATTATACAACTATTGGAGAGTGTAAACTATCGATAATAGCAACATAAATTAACAAATTACTGGCTCGATCGTCACAGATACATACATAACACTCACACTCACACATTTACATACATACGCGCAAACATATACACGACGCATACGCGAAGAGCAACACACAACATGTAAGACGAATCACATTGTAGATACATACAGCAATGCGAACTGGGCAAATTCTAACTTCAATGTTTTACATTCAATTCATTAAATGTAACCTAACACAAGTAAGTACTTATGCGTATCAAGTTTACTTAGTGTGCAAATCAGTTTTTTCTTCTTTTTTTTACGATACGTGTAGAGTTTTTTTTATGTCCAACAAAGATCAAATCACTTTTGTTAATCCATTAAAATTTCTATCGTACTTACATATATAGGATACGTTGATTGAGATATTTGAAATAAATCCACCATTTTGATATCTTACGAATCTGATAATAATTACAATATTCTTTCATTTCTCTTGTACGGAACTGTAAGAAAGGAATGGAACACTCAATCGAAAATAATATCACAGTCTGGAGATATACAGTGGAAGACTAAAGATGCTGATGTTGCGTCGAAAAGAAACTATTTCAAATTTCAACATTTTGAAATAAAATTTTTCCGAGATTGTAGAAATCTGGCTCAGAAATTTAATTAATCTGTTTGCTCAAGTAATATCGCAAAATTTGATTTTAAAATGTTGAGAAAACAAGTAGGGGGAAAAAAAAGGAAGTATCAAGACAATGCAAAAAATTAGCGAAACAAGTGCAATTGATAACGCAATTGTTATTAACAATTCCTATCCTAACTTCTCTCTCTCTCTCTTTTTCTCTATGTATACCACTTTCATTTCCGTCTTCCCTTTCTCTCTCGCACGATTGTGATATTATTTAAAAAGCTCTATCGTTTCATATGTATGTCAAGTTTCAATTACGTAATAAATATACGATTTACCGCGATAAAAAGTATCTTCTTTTTTTCTCTTAGACCGAGCATATTTGTCAGAAGAAGGTATGACAAAATAGCACGATCATAAAAAGTGACTAGCATTCGCACTTTTTCGTACAGCAATTGAATCGGTTTTCAATTGGTCTCTTATCTCGATGATATAGACGTATATCATGTATGTATAATGTGTATCGTATACTACGATAATAAAAATAAATTAACAGATTCTCGTAATCGATTCTTGAGTTACCATGATTTATCAGCAAGACACACTTGAATTGAACGCTGGCCTAAACACGCGGCTATTATCTTTATACGTTAAAATTTACGTAATCCTTATCGGATGATAAATGATTACATGAATATTTATGCATATAAGTACAAAGCAATTAAAACATTTTCCTCTCTTCCTCATCGCGTTTACATGCGCATATTGCAAATGTATCTTTCCTATTACTTTGTACATATATATGTGTACGTACAATGTTATATATTTACTTTGTAACATATATATACTATGTGTTAGTATACCCGCGCATTTAGGTCAATCATAAGGCTCCTAGTCTTGGACTTTCTATGTATTTTGTGAGGATCCTCTATATTCGAAATAGAATGCGTTTGTACAAATCTGGCGTTTATCTACTAATAGAGATAGATATAAATCAGTCGACCCTTTTTACTGATTTTGTTTTAGTTTAATATGCCACTGTAATATTTTAAGTTTTTAAATAAAAATTACAATAAAAGTCAGACAATTTTTTGAAGTATAAATCTCTTTTTCATATTTTAGAATTAAATTGCAAGTGGAAAAATACTTGGTATGTTCTAGAGTAGAAAACTATTAATTTGATATTTGTGCGCTAATTTAAACATAAATACTATAAAATAAAAGCTATTACAAGCCGAGTTGGATGGCAATTGCTCCTTTTCCATTTATTAATAATATTGTATCTACACAAACGTTTCGACCATTTGAATAATAATTAGAGCCAGAATTATAATTTAACTTTTTTTACTTATGAATCATAAATAATTACGTATATAAAAAGATATATACTGAAATAACCTTTAACTTCTTCAGTATTAAAGGTATATTATATTAATGTGCACATATAGCAAAATATAATTCAAAATTCAAATTTAAAATAAGAAAATGATAAAGGTTAATATTATAAATTAAATATAAATGACGCAAGTGTGCGTAAAAATAATTTTACAATATATGCATTTGCATATAATGTATGTTTGTGTACATGTATTTATATATGTGCGTACTCACTCGTGAAATGTGGGAAATGTCTGAAACTAGTGAAACTAATGAAGTCTGAAATTATTGGCAAGATATTGATTGTCCGACTTGACTTTAACAAGATACATTGTTTAAGAAATGTATCAAAGATTATTGTATAGCTCTCTTTCTCTCTCTCTCTCTGTTTTAACAATGGCAATGTTACTTTCATTATCTTTGAAAAAGTGATATGCATATATAGATATCGCGTAACTTGAGAATATTTAATGTCGCAATGTACAATCATTAATATATTCCTCCTTGTAATCTGTCTTTCGCCAGAAGAAAAGAACAAGTAAGAAGAGCATTCGATTTCGAATATTCTAGATTCCTGCAATGTCTTAAAAACATAACCATCGATAATTTGTTTAGAAGGTAAATAATGCACAATAATATAAACAAATTGTGTGTATATATATGTCAAATGCATCGACATAAATTATGTGGAATAAGTTTGACGCTAACAATGCTGTCCTAGATCTCAAAAGAACATACTCCAACGTTAATAAATTGAGATATTTATCTTACAAACGATCAAGCGTTTAACAGAATGTATTGATATTCTCTTTTTGATCTAGTACAGTCTTAGAGAATAGTTATTAATAACGTGTGTAATCGCTGTTATGTAATCAAGCAGCCTATAGTTTTGTTCAATGTGTATCATAGGTATAAACTTGGTAACTATTATCGACGAATCTTAATTGGTATACGTCTAAGTGAACAGTCATACGAAAGAGTTGTTGACTCCGAGATGATGCTCGAAAAACGCGTGATGAGATTCAGAAATAGGTGGTACAAGTTCTTTTGTGCTCATTATACATTATATACTGTACGAAAGCATCGCGTTCTTTAGTACAGTAGGATGGCGACGTGGCTGTGCCACAGACAGTTCATCGGATGTCGGAGATGTTGGTTTTGCTGCCGAAAATTTTGACTAGCTGATCTTCGTAATCGTCGATATTACGTTTCATAAGTTCCATACACGGGCCGAGTAAACGCTCGAAAGCTTCAACGTCCAAAACTGTAAAGAATGGCCGTTTGAAAAAAATGAAGGAACAAATGATCCTTTAAACAAGAGAGTCATTTGCGTAATCGATTAAAAATGTGAGACATCCGGCATAAAGAAAATTTCAAATCGAATTAAACGCGCACAGATAACCATTGGATTACATTCCAAGTCTAATATTTCCATTTATTACGATAAACGTCGATATTTGTGATCGTTGCGCAATTATTGGCTACCTATCAATGTGAAGGTTGTGGGCAGTAACTAAATAAACTTACATGCCAGTTTGATGTCCCCCACAGCGTAGGCCGAAGCGGCGCGTGGTTTATGCGTCACGAGTGCCAATTCGCCTAAATAACCGCCAGCCGGAACACGATTAATCTGCACGATATTAAAGGTACTGGGTTAAGTAAGGACAAAATTTTCTTGGCGTTCATCGTCGTCGACGTCGTAAACGAACTATTTCGCGAGAAACTGAATTAACACGTAATATAAATGCACCTCGATTTCACGGCCGTGCTCGCCGAGTATAGTGATCCTGACGATGCCGTCCTCGACGAAATACATTCCGTCCGCGGTGTCGCCCTGCCTAATTATCTGCTCACCGTCGGAATACTGTTTCGGTACAAGGGCATCCGCTAAATTCATGCGTTCGTAAGACTGAAAGAGGAGTTTTGCATGTAAATCTTGTAGCAGCTGGCACTGCGAGATTTAGTTTATTTCTCATTTCAATATTTAGTTTTTCCCCCTTTTCTTAATCAAGATAGAACATAATTAAAAAAAAACGTAGTAATTTAGTAAAGTACAAATTCAGGAACTATTTTAAAATAAAAGACTTTAAAGTGCAAATTTTGAAAACTATCATAAAGTAAAGTCACACGATAATACTTACTTCGAGAGACTTCAACATCGGCACTTTATTAATAAGATTCTCGTACATTTTACGCTTTTTGTACGCAGATTTCAGAAGAATACGTCGGAAGGTTTGCCTATCCATGGCCCAGAGTGTGCCGGGAGTGATTGCTTTGACCGTGGCTGCCCTGGGCATATTGTACAGAAGGGCGAGTTCTCCAAAAGCGCCGCGATTATCATAAGTATGAATATGATTGTCCGCTCCTGTGACGGAATCTTTAACGTAAACTTCAAATTTTCCTCTGAAACGTAAAATACGTTGAGTTTTCGCTTTGCCGAAATAATTTCAGATTCCAATAAAATGATTAATTATGAATAACTAAATTATATTATATTAAACATAAGAGTTTGAATATTTTCAGGTCTAAGTAAAAGCACTAGCCGACTGTGTGCATCCCTTCTTGGTTCATTGGAACTTCCCGCTGAAGGGAGAAGCCTATCGATACGTTAACTGTAATATATAAAGAAAAAGTATATTACCTCTCGATCACATAAAAGTTGTCACCATCGTCGCCCTGTCGGATAATAAATTCTCCCGGTTGAACAATTTTTTCGAACATCGCGTCCAATACATCCGCCATTTGTTCCTGTAAAAGTAATTTTATTATACATGTATTAATATCTTTTTAGAGCAATATTATCATTCAGGATTTTAAATATCGACTTTAAAATTGTCATACACAAGCATAAAATTACATTAATATCATGTTGATAATCAGTGTACATTTATGTACATATACAAGTCTTAAAAACAAAAATTGTATTTAAAAAAATATATATATATAAATATAACATACTCAATATTATCTAATAGTCAAGTGATAATCAATACGCTCCAATACATAAATAAATTGCTAATAACAAAAATAATTATCGCAATTATGTGAATGTTTAGTGAATTCAATTGCTCCTAATAAGAAATTATTCGTGGATTTCTTGGTATTTTGCCGAGCTGGCGCGAATACTCAAGCCGCTGTTATACCTATTCTTGTTCAGCGATCGCGGTTGATAAACGCACTATGTTTAACTTACCTCGTCTAGAGCGCGAAACAGAAGTATGTTCTTGACGCTCTCGCTGAGCCTTTGTCGCTGCTCGTCGCTCTTTGGATGGACCATCTGAAATTAATGAACCGCATGAAGGCAAATTAAATCTTTAATAAAACGCAGTTTAGTTCGAAACTTTGAAATTTTTTGCCAAATTGTCTGTATAATTGAGACATCCTTTATCGTTTGTTAAAAAATTGTTTCTTATACGAAGTAATTACAAAATAATTTAATATGTTTTGTTTACGAAAGATTTAAAATAACGACAACGAGAAGTAGCTCAAAATACTTCACACTCATGCTTACAATTATTCAAATAATGCTATTGTTTCTTACAGGAAACATTGACTGATTTGTTACAAAAAATTTTGTAATCGCAAAATGTATATATACTAAATTAGGCGCACTCATAGATCAAATAAAATCAAAACATTGAGTGTCAAAATTGTTGATTGATTAATTAAAGGCGCTTAATCTATAATAAAGAAAAAAAACCTGAAAAGATTAATTATTTAGTAACTGTGTAGGTTATTTATATTTTATTAACCGCCATTTGCTGTTATCGATATGCAATCTAATCCTTCAAAAGTTCTTGTGAAATTATTTTATGGGATTTTCTACAAGAATTCTCTCTAAAAGCCACTATCGGCAAGTTCGATACTTTAACCAGTACTTGAGAGAGATTGCCCTTTACCTGATGCGCTGAACTTTGACCTCTCCCACGCTCTATTCACGATTATTTCGGAGATAAAGTGCGTCAAGATTTACGACCTATCAACTCGTTATGTATATATAGTCTTTAGCGACATTATTATTAATAACTTACAAAGCATCATGCAAATTGCGTAAAATATTTGTCATGCAATGGATTTTTCACACGTGACTTTTTTATAATTATAAGCTAGCTAATATATTCCAAAAATATGCGCACGTTTCATAACGATTGCATTACGGTTGTAAATTGACAAATTAAATAATAGCATAAAGAATTCAAAGTTTTAGTGTCTACGTAATATCTGCGGGTATTTTAGTATCTACATCCTTAATATCCTTAATATCTTTAATCTCTCTTCCTCTCTCTACTTTAACATCTTGATTGAATATAATCATTATAAAGTTAAAAAGATTTAGATTAAAAAAAAAAACATTTTACTTATGTATTTCTTTTCTTCTTTTCTATTGCAATGTCACGTTACTCGTTTATATCTGAATTTTATTCTTATTAGCTTAGCCTCCATTAAAATTATTCACTTTGGAAACATCGCGTTTGCTCGCTCAAAACAACTTTTTCGACTTATTATGCAATTATTACGCCTAACATTATTCTCCTCACTTGTAAGCAAACACGCGGTAATCAGTCTCTCCACAAGCGGCAAGTTCTTTGTTGCGTTATCGTGGCAATTGTTGCATACAAAAGCGATCAATTTTGCAGGGAACCGTTACCCTCCGTTTCTATTACTGACATATTCCATCTGCGACTATTGTGCGATCGAGCCGCGTGTATCGTATGATTACAACTTCGCCGAGGGTCGTTCAGTTGCTCAACCGTTCAGCCGTTTGTCACATCGTCACCTGTAAAACTATTATTTCGCCGCATTCGGTGCATTATCTTTTTCGCGTGTGACATGTGCCGCTGAGCACACGTGAATAAACCGTATGTAATAAACTGTATTCTACTTCTCTTTCGTGCATCACTCTTCAACGACAGATTACTTGGCTAATTTCAAATCCAACTTTTTCCCAACGCAAATGCAAAGGAGGATCATCACTCGTAGCAACTTTGCACATTACATTATATATATATTTATAACTAAATCATTTGTGACTAAATCATTTGTAACTAAATCTCAAATTAAAATTGCATGAAGTTAAAAGTGCAGAATGCGTGTAAGTTTAAGTCTAAACGATTCGAACAAAAGATTTGCTTTGTATCTTGTAGAAAATAACACCTCGATATTTTTAGAAGAAAAAAAAAAAAAAAAAATACAACTCCACACTGACCAAAGAATCTGTCGGTTAAAAGGCAGCGCGTGGATCTGTACCCTTCTTATCGTAAACGGTTAAGAAGATTGCGTATGTCCTAGTTTCGTCTTGGTCTTTCTAAAAATTGCAAGTGTCCCAGTTTATTCTGCTATTGTCCTAGCTAGTCGTAGCACGTAGAGAGAAAATATGGTCGGCCTAGCTCAGGGAAGAAAGAGAGAGACCGCCGATTCTCCTCTTGTGTAACCAGCCACCACGGGACGCCGATAATCGGATTCACTGG